AACAAATAGTCATTGAAGAAATCTTTCATTTTATTAAGCACGACAACCTCTCCCCGATTGTGGCGTAGCCAACACTGACTTCCTGACCCCAAACCTTCCCTTTCCGTTCCCCAATTCTCTGTGTCTCATTGGCCATCTTCCAAATCACTCTCCCCATATCTACTACTTCAGCTCCCAGGAATGTCCCCCCTCCCATCTCATCTCTTAGGGGATATTATCTTCAGGGAAAATAAGTAGGTGAGAAGTCAGGCGTCCTCTTGCCAGCTGCCCCCCTCTTCTCCTTCTTATGTCAGCACTAGAGTAAATGCAGGTTGAAGGCAACCCACCACTGGCTCCACCTGAGGACACTGCAACCATCATAAATATGAGTCAGTTGCTAAGCATCTGAATTTTGAGGATGTGACCAAGGTCTAGGATTTTTCGGCTCAAACCCTTTGCTTTGCCTGTTTCTCCTCAAGGTTTTTCTCCTCTGCATTATTAGCCACAAACTTTTCTCCTCGGCTGGCCCTCCCCCAGTCTTTCACCCCAGCACATGAGTCATGGCCCCTCCGTCCCAGTCTCTTCGCTGTGGCCCATTCATTAAAGTACAGTTCACATCGGGCTTTTGGGTGCCCAGGACAGTTCACAGCCAGCCAATCGGTGCCCGCTCTTCCACTCCCAAAGCCTCCTGAGTCCCTGCACCAATTGGCTGGCTGTGAACTGTCCTAGGTGCCCAAAAGCCCAATGCCAACTGTACTTCAGCAAATGGACCACAGTGAACGGACTGGGATAGAGGGGCCGTGGCCCATGTGCTGGGGTGAAAGCAGTGGTGGGATTCAGCCAGTTCACACCACTTGTGAACGGTTTGGCAAACTGGTTGTTGGAAGAAATCATTAGGGCAGAGAACTGGTTGTTAAATTACTTGAATCCCACCACTAGGCGAAAGGCTGGGGGAGGGCCAGCCGAGGAGAAAAGTTTGTGGCTAATAGCGCAGAGGCGAAAACCTTGAGGAGAAACAGTCAAGGCGAAGGGTTCGAGCTGAAAAGTCCCATTCCGGACCAAGAGGAGGCTTCAAGGATTGTAAGTGTGAAAAACCACAAGTCCCTTTTTGCAGCTTGCAAGGAGGAGGAGGAGGGGAGATGACTGTGGGGTCCTTGGTGCTCTCTGAGCTTGGTTGTTTTTCTGCAGGCATTTCATGACTCAAGTAAGTAGCATCAACAGTGCTAGAATGGAAGTGGGGTTTGTGAGGAGGAGGAAGAGGAGGAGGACTGTGGGGTTCCTTGGTGCTCTCTGAGCTTGGTTGTTTTCTTGCAGATGTTTCATGACCCAACTAGGTTACATCATCAGTGCTTAGAAGGGGATGGAGTTCGTGGGGAGGCAGAGGAGGAGGACTGTGGGGTCCTTGGTGCTCTCTGAGCTTGCTTGTTTTCTTGCAGACATTTCATTACCCAACTAGGTAACATCAGCAATGCTAGAAGGAGAGTGGGTTTGTAGAGAGGAGGAGGAGGAGGAGGAGGAGGAGGAGGAGGGGGAGGAGGAGGAGGAGGAGGAGGAGGAGGAGGAGGAGGAGGAGGAGAACAATGACTGTGGGATCCTTGGTGCTCTCTGAGCTTAGTTGTTTTCTTGCAGACATTTCATTACCCAACTAGGTTACATCATCAGTGCTAGAAGGGAGTGGAATTTGCTCTCTATGGTTGGCCCAATCAGTGTTGGTGGGCGTCTTGAAAATCTAGTTCCTTGATTTGACTGTTGATTGCTGGCTGGTTGATTGTTTATCTGAGTTGCGACCTGTTGGCTTCCAACAAGCAAAGTCAACCAGGAAGCCACTGGAACATGGCTAAGACCTGTAGTTAGAACTTATAGGAGTTATTTTCGTCATCAGACCTTTCAAAGTTCAAGAGCTTCCGAGTTTAATAGAAACCCCCCCTTAAAATAGCAGCGCACCTTTTTCTCGCATCTTCAAGAAAACGTTCTTCTAGAGCCTTCTGCCATTAATTAATTATACCCAGGCTGTTGATTAAGTTCAGTGCTCTTTGCCCTTGTAATAGGTGCAACAGAAGAATGATTAGAATCTAAATTACATTGTTAATAAAATAGATTCCTTCGTGATAACCCTTTCATGGTCTCCTATACATATTCCAATTAATTTAATAAGGTTATGAAATACAAAACCTGAATCATAAGTATATGCTAATTGGAATATGATTTAGCAGTTGGATTCCCCGTACCTAGGATAAGCTGTAAACGTGACGCTTGGCTTAGATATCTGTCACAGACAGTTGATATTAGGGTATTGAGAGGGGTGGATGGGCAGATAATAAAATAAAATAAGAGTTGGAAGGGACCTTAGAAGTCTTCTAATCAACCACCCCCTGAGCAGGAGACCCCGTACCATTTCAGATGAATAGCTTCACAGTCTCTTCTTGAAAGCCTCCAGTGATGAAGCATCCACAACTTCTGGTGGCAAGCTGTTCCACTGGTTAATTGTTCTCACTGTCAGGAAATTTCTCCTTAGTTCTAGGTTGCGTCTCTCCTTGATGAGTTTCCATCCATGGCTTCTTGTCCTGCCTTCAGAGATTTTGCTCTCGTCCTTAAGGTGTCTATCCTCTTTCCATCAAATCATCTTCTAATGCTTTTCTGATTGGGCTCTTCATGTAAAGGAGGAAGTAAAGTTTGTAAAATTTGCAAAACAGTTTGTAAAATTCAGATTCCACATCTAAGTTTGTAAAATTTGTAAAGCAGTTTGTAAAATTCAAATTGCACAATCGGTTTGTAAAATTCAAATTGCATACTCCACAGTTCAAGCAAAAGATATTCACTTAAATCCTGAATAACCTTCTTAAATCAACACAGAGACAGAGCTTATCATAAAGGTTTATCGGATCATAATTAAAAATGGTGGGGAAAATTTAAAAAAAAAATACTTCTGCAGCAATAACACAAACCAGAGTCTTATTGGCATAAAAAGGGGATAATTCATTTTCCAGAGAAGAGTTTTTCTTAGATATGAGTTTCTTTGCAGATATGAGGATCCCTTCACCAAAGTGAAATACATATGTTTTCTAAATTAACTGTCACAGTTTGCTGCTATTATGAATCTGTCAACTGTGGAACTCCAGAATTTGATTTGCAATATTTTTATTTTAGTTATACGTAATATATGCCTGAGTGACATTTCATTTGCAATTGCTTGGCAACCTCAAATGTTATCTTTTGACTTGAAAATGTAATGTCTAAAAGAGAGAGTGAGAGAGAGAAAGAGAGATATTAGAATAAAGAACTGAAAAAAAAATACGATTTGAGATGTAGATATCTTTTGGACTTCTAATATCTCCCATGTTTCTTATGTAAATTAGCAATATACATATTTAAATTTCAGTGGGACTGTAAAAATCATAAGTTCACTTTAATACTGTAGATCTGCAGTTTGCAAATATGAGAGATAAGCAGACTTAAAATCTTTCATGGAAGACATTTCCCCACAAGGGAGTTGAAGGGAGACCTCTTCATTTAAAAGGACAGGTAAATGAATGGTGCCATCTTCTTCATATTAACTCAAGTTCCAACTTGGGAATTAACACTTTCAATAAGAGTATAATTTTGTAGGTGTCTACTAAAAAATAAATCCCATTGAGTCCACCAGGGCATCTTCTTAGGTAAAATAAACAGCTGGCATAGTCATACTCCACTCAGTTTCAGGGATGCAACTGTAGAGCTGGTCAACAGTATTAAGTATCTGGGAGTACAGATAACTAACAACCTGAACTGGCCTGTCCACACGTCATCCTTAGTGAAGCATGCAAACCAGCGTCTGCATTTCCTGCATCGGATGAGGAGAGCACATCTTTCTCCTTCTGTCCTGGCCACTTTTTACAGAGGCATAATTAAGAGCAGTTTAACAAACTGCATCACTGTTTGGTTTGATGACTGCAGTGCCTCAGATAGAAAGTCCCTACAGAGAGTGGTGAGGACAGTGGAGAAGATTATAGGAAGCTCACTTCCCATTATTCAGGACACTGCTTATAAATGCTATGTGCTTAGAGCTCGAAGCATTGTGAGAGACCCCACATACCCACTTAACGGTCTGTTTCTGTTGCTCCCCTCTGGGAGGAGGTTTCGAAGTATTTCTAGCAGATTCTGTAACAGCTTTGTTCCTTAGGCCATCCATCCAGTAAACTTGCAAGATTCATTTTTCTCACCATGTACATGTATACATCCAAACTGGACTGTGTTGTTTCTCTGTGTAAAAGAATACATGTGGGTATATGCATAATTTTGTATTTATTTGCTTTATCATGTTTATGTAGTGTATATTGGAGGTGCACCTCTTGAGAGCTGTACGCCATGAAATTTCACTTGAATGTATGCCAATTAGTGTACATTCAAATGGCAATGAAGTTTTTCCAAGTTCTAGAATTACAGCTTCAGAATAGAAATAGCAATAGCACTTAGACTTATATACCGCTTCATAGTGCTTCTACAGCCCTCTCTAAGCGGTTTATAGAGTCAGCCTCTTGCCCCCAACAATCTGGGTCCTCATTTTACCCACCTTGGAAGGATGGAAGGTTGAGTCAACCTTGAGCTAGTAAGATTTGAACTGCCAAACTGCAGGCAGCTGGCAGTCAGCAGAAGTGGCCTGCAGTACTGCACTCTAACCACTGCGCCACCTTGGCTCCAGAAGCTAAAAAGGGGGTTTCCTATAGTTTCACCTCTAACTTAGCATCTCATGCATACAAGTCAGTACCGTAATAACAACTACGGAAGCCATTAATTGCATGCAAAATTGTCGGTAACCAGGGCGCAATCGGTATAGACTAAAGTTGTGAGGAGAGACTTTGAAGGAGGCGACTTCCAACAGTTCTGAAATGTAAGTACAGAAAAGACACGCGATCGGAAGTCGCGGATGAGGTCATTCCAGCAGTGACGTCATCCGTAGGACTCCTCGTGTCTTTGCTTGGCTTTCCTTTTTAGCAATCACAACATAAATTGCTTGTCTTGTTTGACTTCCTTGTTCACCAAAGTTGAGCAGATTGTGGCTGTTTTCAACGCCTCCACACGACAAAAAGCTTGGGACCATTTCTCCAAAGCTCAACGGAAGAACATAGATATTTGGCGCAAGCATTCCGAGGTGGGTGAATTTTCCTTTTTCTGTTTTTTATCCATCATTTCACAGCCTTTGGGACCAAGTGGGGGGAAATGCAAAGGAGCCTGTGCAGGATTGTGCTTTGTTCAGCAGTCTTTCAATTGCCGCAATTGTAGTGTGTAAATGTAATTAAGGATTGTTTCCAGAGTTTCTGCAACGGTTTCTGCAGCTGAAACTCTTGAGGGACAATATCCCTTCCACTAAAACAGCTAATGGAGAGAATTAGCGGAGTCGCCTTAACATTTAGGTTGTAGTCCTGCAGTTAATGAATTCCAAAATGAATGTAATTCATCACAATATTGTTCTAAAGCAGACAAAACTATTGGACAAAGCAGTTTCGTTTCGGAACAAGATTCTTCATCATAAATATTCATAACAAAATAATTGCTAAGGAGATATCGGAAATCCAGATTTCTTATTTCACGAGTATTAGCTTAGGGAAGACAAGGTAATTTTTCCAATTTGACCTTGGACAAAATAAAAGGGAATGTTTTTAATTGTCCACCATCCAAACTTTATAAAATAGGGCACTGCAGCCAGAATTCCACGTTTTTAATCTTTTGAGTCCTCTCAAGGGTAAGATTTTTTTAATTGATGGAGTGATAGCAAAATTTAGGAGCTGCAAAGATTTTCTTGAACCCAGACACTATAAGAAAACTGCTTCCTAATCCTAATAAGGGCTCAAGTTCACCTACAGTCCTGCAGAAGTGGGGAAGGAAGTCTTTCAAAGGGCAACTGCACTTCCTTGTTTTGCTTAAAGACATTTCGCTTCTCATCCAAGAAGCTTCTTCAGTTCTGACTGAATGGTGGAGGATGGAAGGATTTATACTCCTTGCAGTCATCTGGTTGTTAGTACTCTTTCTGAGAGCCATTGAAGCCATTTGGAGGCTGATCTATGCCCTTGAGGTCACCTGAATCCTGTAAAATCTGCATTTTTTTCTGGAAATCCGTTCATACTTTGCACCATTCAAAGGGCGTCCATCCCAACCTGCACAGTTAAGAAGCTTCTTGATGAGAAACATAACATCTTCAAGCAAAACAAAGAAAGCCCAGTTGCCTTTCGAAAGAAAGCACCTTCAGGACAACATTGACCTGGATGACTGAGAATTTCCATAGCCATTAGACAAATGTAGATTTCATGGGGTTATGAGCCAACGTGGGCCTTCCAAGGCAGATGAGATTCAACCAGGGACCATGCCTAGATGCTGTCAAGTTTAAACCTACATCTGAGGCCAGGGACTTGAACAGCACAGAATGACAGAAGTCAAAAGCATCTGCAAGGAAGTCTGTAGAGATTCTCCATCATCCACGTCATGGTTGTCCCAAAGGTGCTTTGTTTCAGGAGGCAACTGGACCTTCTTGTTTTTTTCTTTCCTTGAAGATGTTTCGCTTCTCATCCAAGAAGCTTCTTCAGCTCTGACTAGATGGTGGGGAATGGAAGGATTTAGGTTCCTTGCAGACCGCTGGTCATTTGCACTCTTTTTAGAGAGTCGTTGAGGCAACTTGAAGGTTTATCTGTGTTCTCAGGGTCACCTCGATGGTGCAAATGGTTCCTATAGTCTGCAATTTTTCCTCTGGAAATCCATTCCTACTCCCAACACCATTTGAAGGGTGTTCATCCCACGGCTGACCCTGAGGACACAGAGAAACCTCCAAGTGGCCTCAATGACTCTCTAAAAGGATGCAAATGACCAGCTGTCTGCAAGAAGTGTAAATCCTTCCCTTCCCCACCATCCAGTCAGAGCTGAAGAAGTTTCTTGGATGAGAAGCGAAACGTCTTCAAGGAAAGAAAAAACAAGGGAGTCCAGTTGCCTCCTGAAAAAAAAAACACCTTTGGGACACCTGCATGAAAGGAACATGATCGGCAGGTTGGTAGATAGAGCATTGTGGTGGGACAGACCATTTTTGAACTTACGGGTGAAGCTGGTACAAAATGCAATAGAGTTTGCAAGTCAGTGCTCATCCCCTATCTTGTCCATTTGATGCCCAATCTGAAGAGACCAGTGATAGGACAGAAGGTATCGGACAGAAGGAGGGGACTCAGAACCATACCCTTGTAAGTAGATATGATAACCAGGATACACTAAGGAGTTTAAACATTTGGTTATGCCTAGCAATAGAGGAGAACCAGAAGCAGGGAGATTTGGGGACGTGGAAGGACGAAAGAATGGAAAAATCAAATTCAATCCAGCCTAAACATCTGGATTTTCTTCAATGCATGTGCATGATGAGAAATCAAGGAAGAAGAATCGTTTTTCCTACATCCCTTTTGAGAGAGAGAGAGAGAGAGAGAGAGAATGAATGAGAATTCCCTACATGTTTAATTTATTGATCATATTATGCAAATATGTCTTGGCTCATTTTCTTGGCTTCATTGTGCTCTGCATGTAGATGATTTCCTGCATTCTGGCTGTGGCTTAGTTGTGGCCTGGGTTGTGTTGTGATCCATGCATCAGGCTTAATACCATGTATGAATGATGGTTCTTGGGATCAGGGCACTTTGTAAATGTATGCAACAGCTACACCCTTCCCATAGATAAAGGGTTGACGTGGGATGAACCCCGAGATACATACCAGTGGTTCTTTCAATTGAGAGGCAAACTGAGAGAGACATGCCACTGTCTCTCTGGGGTCCTTCACTAGCACCAGAGAGAGAGAGAGAGAGAGAGAGAGAGAGAGAGAGAGAGAGATAGATAGATAGATAGATAGATAGATAGATAGATAGATAGATAGATACAGTAGATACAGTAGATAGATAGAAGAGAAAGACAGATAAGCATCTGGTTTTTGAGCTCCTGTGTGCCATAGCAGAGGTCTTTGGTGCTCCTTGAACTTGGTTATTTACTTGCAGATGTTTCCAAGTAGGTTACCAAGTAGGTAACATCATCAGAACACCAGAAAGAGATGAGATGATAGATAGATAGATAGATAGATAGATAGATAGATAGATAGATAGATAGAGGATAGATAGATAGAGATAGATAGATAGAGATGATAGGTAGGTAGGTAAGTAGGTAGGTAGGTAGGTAGGTAGGTAGATATAGAGATGGATGGATGGATGGATAAAGGATAGATAGATAGACATAGAGATAGATAGATAGATAGAGGGATGGATGGATGGATAAAGGATAGATAGAGATAGAGATAGATATATATGGATGGATGGATGGATGGATGGAAGGATGGATGGATGGATGGATGGATGGATGGATGGATGGATGGATGGATTGATAAAGGATAGATAGATAGCGGATCTATCCATAAAGGATAGATAATAGATGATAGAGAGAAACAGAAAGACATATTAGAGAGAGAAAGAGAGAGAGACAAATAATAGAGACAGAATGTGTGTGAGTGTGTGGAGAGAGAGAGAGAGAGGTGATTGGTAGATAGATGGATAGATAGATGATAGAGAGAAACAGAAAGACATATTACAGAGAGAGAGAGAGGCAGTGTCTGTATAGACAGACAGACAGGATAGAAAGAGAGAGAGAGAGAGAGAGAGAGAGAGAGAGAGAGAGAGAGAGAGATGGATCTGCTTTTTTGGCCCCCGTGTGCCACAATAACCTGGCATGTGTCACACCATACTTTTTGTCGTAAAGTAAGTAAAAACCGTTTCCTTGTCCCAGCCCTTCATTTTTATTTTTTTTTCCTAAAAAAATAAAAAATAAAAAACAGTACCAGGCAATGCATCCATTTACTGAGTGCTCTCTCGGTGCATTGTTAACACCGCAGTCCTTTTCTTGTTTCCTTGCCTAACAACAAAAACGCTGTGTGGAGGTAAGAGTTGTTTATTGAATTATGGTGTCTCTGGGCTTATAACCATGACGCTGCATGCTTCAAGATATCATTGTGCTGGAGTCCAAATCCTTGAGGGGACCTTCGGAGCGCCCTGACTAAATAAATAATTGATTGAATAAGGAAACCGTTGGATGCGATATCTGCATGAATTAAAAATAAAGAACCTTTTATTATCACTGCCTGTTACGATGTAGATGATCTACGATGTTTTCGGGGGTTATTCATAAATGAATAGACCCGAATGCCAAAAAAACAGGCAAAGGAGGTTTTTTTTTTATTAACCAGGCTGCTATTTCCCTAATATTGAAGATATATTCCATTAACACTGAAATTTATCTGATATACACACACACACACACATGCTACATTGAAAATATTCTTAACATTTAAATATTTAATATGCCACGATGCGTTCAAAGGCGTTCTGTTTTTCTTTTCTGCAAACCATCCTTGAATTTTTAACGATGGTTTTATTCCCCTGTCCCTTGCTTTTCTCTTTTTTAAAAGTAATAAAGCTGTATAAAACAAAATGCTTTTTCCAAAACAAGGCATATATCTACCCTTCCACTGTTCCTAAGTCCCATCAACTCTCTCTCTGATTTGGAAAGAGAGCCAGTTTGGTTGAGGCACCAGGCTAGAAACTGGGAGATGGTGAGTTCTAGTCCCGCCTTAGGTACGAGAGCCAGCTGGGTGATTTGGAGCCAATCACCGGGAGACTGAGAGTTCTAGTCCCACCTTAGCACGAATGCCAGCTGGATGACTTTGGGCCAATCACCGGGAGACTGAGAGTTCTAGTCCCGCCTTAGCAGGAATGCCAGCTGGATGACTTTGGCCAATCACTGGGAGACTGAGAGTTCTAGTCCCGCCTTAGCACGAATGCCAGCTGGATGACTTTGGGCCAATCACCGGGAGACTGAGAGTTCTAGTCCCGCCTTAGCATGAAAGCCAGCTGGATGACTTTGGGCCAATCACCGGGAGACTGAGAGTTCTAGTCCCGCCTTAGCACGAATGCCAGCTGGATGACTTTGGGCCAATCACCAGGACACTGAGAGTTCTAATCCCGCCTTAGCATGAAAGCTAAGGTGACTTTGGGCCAATCTCTAGGTGTGATGACCCGGAGCATGGCACGAAAGCAACACAACCAGAGAACAGGTCTAACTCCCCCTTTATTGCTCCATCTGTGC